ACATAATAATATATAATATGGCTTCCCTGGTGGTTCAGACAGTAAAGAATCTGCCTGCAAGGCAGGAGACCCAGGTTCAATCCCTGGGCCTGGAAGATCCCATGGAGAAGGGGATGGCTACCAATATTCCTGCCTGGATAATTCCGTAGACAGAGGAGCCTGGCAGGTTACAGTCCATGTTATATTTATAAGTATATGTATATATCGAGCTGTACACTTCAGTTTTGTGCTCGAAGTTATATAATAATTAAACATGTAAATTTTTAAAAATTTTAATGAGTAGAATAAACAACTGCTATGTTGGTGCATTCAAGACATGAAACACCAGAATGCAGGACTGGTCCAGTGGAGTGCACACATGGAGAACTGGGCTCCTGGTTCGCAGATGCCCTGTCTCACCACAAGGTGGCTCTCTCCTCCCTCAAGGCTCGGATCAAGTCTCTGGGAGGGAAAACCAACTGAAGATGACGTTGCTCGCTTAGAAATATTCCTGGAGGTGGAGGGTGTGTGCTCCAGAAAGGAGAGCATAGACCTAGGGTAGAAACGCTGTGCATCGATGCTGGCCTCATTACAGAGGATTGTAGCTCTTGCAAAACAAGGGACTGAATCCCAGCTTTGTCATTTCCTAGCTGTGTGACCTTGGAAATATTCGTTAACTTCTCTGTGCCCCAGTACCCTCATTTGTACAGTGGAATAATCATGATTTGTAGTGTGGTTGTTGTTGTCCGCGCATGTGAAATGACTTAGTCTTCATGAAGCTCTTAGAACATCACCTTGTACAGAAGAGCTCGGATTTCCCTGGCGGTCCAGTGGTTAGGACTCTGCCCTTCCACTGCAGGGGGCACAGGCTTGATCCCGGGTTGAAGAACTAAGATCCCATAAGTTTGGCAGTGTGGCCAAAAAAACAAAAGAAGAAGAGCTCAAAGTCATTATCAGAATAATATTGAGATGAAATCTCAGTGATGAATAGGGGAAGACCTGGCAACCCGCTTCTTCAGGGACCAATTGGATATGGAGAGCCTCGCCAAGCGGGAGATGCCATTTGGGTTCTGCGTTCTTTTGCCAGAGCCTGATGGCCCACTCACAGCCACCACAGCCAGTGCTGATTCAGATCTGTGACCCAGAGGGTTACACAAGTCTTTCTGTAGGTGCCAAAACTGTGTGGCTTGGTGTGGGAGATAGAATGCCGTATGTGTGTGCTAAGCTGTTTCATTCATGTCCGACTCTCTGTGATCCCATGGACTGTATGTAGCCCGCCAGGCTCCTCTGTCCATGGGGTTCTCCAGGCAAGATGAATGGAGTGGGTTGCCATTTCCTACTCCAGGGGTTCTTCCAGACGCAGAGATTGAACCTGTGTCTCTTGTGTCTCCTGCATTAAGCAGGTGGATTCTTTACCACTAGTGCCACCTGGGAAGCCGGGGAGATAGAATAATGCCCCCCTAAAATTTCCACGTCCTAATCCCTAGGACCTGTGACTACATGATGCTGTGTGGCAAAAGGGAATTTACAGCTGTGATTAACTCAAGAATCTTGAGATGGGAAGATTATCCTGACAATTATTAGGAAAGGTCCAGTGTAACTACTTGGGTCTTTATATAAGGGAGGTAAGAGGGTCAGAGTCAGAAGGAGATGTGTTGACAGAAGCAGAAATCAGAGTTATGTGGCTGGGAGCCAAGGAATGCAGGCAGCCTCTGGAAACTGGAAAAGGCAAGGATTAGATTCTTTCCTAGAGCCTCCTTTTTCCCCCCCTTTTTAAAAATATTTATGTATTTGGCTGCACCGGGTCTTAGTTGCGGCATGTGGGATCTTTAGTTTCAGCATGCGAACTGTTAGTTGCATCATGTGGGATCTAGTTCCCTGACCAGAGACTGAACATGGGCCCCCTGCAATGGGAGCATGACGTCTTAGCCACTGGACCACCAGGGAAGTCTCAAGCCTCTTGAAAGAAGATGGCTTTTGATTCTAGCCCAGGAAGACCTATTTAAGATTTCTGACCTCCAGAACTGTAAGATAATAAACTTGTGTTATTCTAAGCCACTGAGATTGTGGTCATCTGTTATAGCAGCAGCTGGAAACTAATACACTCAATGTAAGCGACATCTGGGCAACTTGGTGGTGTTTGTAGCTGCACATCTCAATTTTTTTAATTTAAACAGTAAATACAATCTCCTGGTTCAAAAGTCAGTAAGTGTATACAAATACTTGAGAAAACTGTTTCTCAGTATTCTGCTATATATTCTGCTATGTATATAACTGTTTCTCAGTATTATATATATATATATATATATATATACACACCTATATATAGGTATGTCCACCAAAGGACTCTGACAAGAATGTCCCTGGCAGCAATATTTGCAGTTGCCAAAAACTGGACATATGGGACTCTCAGAACTCAACCCGGTTCAAGACTGTCTGGAAGCACCTTCTAATCATTGGGCTGTCTCTGCACGTGGGCAGCCTTCCCGGGAGGTTGGTGGACACAGGCTGAGGGTGCCAGGGTGTGAGCTGATAATGTCCTTCCAGCTCCAAGCTGGGTGCAGCGAGAGGAGTGGGAAGAGCCTGGAACATCATCAGTGTTACAAAAGCCCAACACCGAACCCAGGTCCTTTGCCCTGGGCCAGAATAATATCTCTGTGTGGCTGGGACCTCCCCGTGTACCTCCCACTGCTTTTAGGTAAGGATCAACAAATTTGAGTTCTGATTGCTAAAACACAGGGAAATTAATTAATACTCCAAATGCATGATGTGTGCTGTGTGCTAAGTTGCTTCAGTCCTGTCTGACTCTTTGTGACTCTATGAACTGCAGCCCGCCAGGCTCCTCTGTCCGTGGGATTCTCTAGGCAAGAATACTGGTGTGCGTTGCCATGCCCTCCTCCAGGGGATCTTCCTGACCCAGAGATCAGACCCAAGTCTCATGTCTCCTGCATTGGCAGGCGGGTTCTTTACCACTAGGGCCACTTGGAAAGCCCAAATGCATGATACAGCTTCCAAATGTGAAAGACTGGGCTTGGGCTTGCCAGATTAGCTGTAAAAGGATTGCTGTTATTCCGGACTTGACTTTTGCAAAGTCTATGAGCCCTGAGAATAGGGAGGCTACTCCAGATCAAGAGTCAGGAAAAACCCACACCCGCAGTTCCTGTAAGAACGACAGCTACAGAGGAGACCAGCCCCTCCGTCCTACATCCTGTGGTGCCAGAGAGACGGGAGTGTGCCTGCATCCCGGTCGGGCCTCTGTGCCCAGACAGCTGTCTCCATTCTGCGGCTGACAGCCCGGTGAGCCTCGCTTTAAAAAAAAAACAAAACCGAGGGAAGTTCTAGAATCATCTGGGTCCAATCATTTTTACAAGCAGCAAAAGTTCTGGGAAATTTACTTGTGGAAACCACTCAATTTTCTTCGCCCGTCAAATGGAGGTAATCATAATCTGGCTATAGGGAACTGCTGGAATGATTAAGTGGCTTCCGCAGGGCACACAGGAAGGAATGCGGGTTTGCAGAGCCCAAAGCTTACACAAGAACTAGGAGGAAAGATTTCGAAATGACTCCAAAGATCTTAGGATGCATGAAACCTTCATCTGCACCTTTATTTACAAAGCAAGCCTTCACTGAGCTAAAGACAAAAATTCAGAAAAACATGGTCCATGTATAATTGATTGATAAATACATAGATCTGAATTAATACATTTAGATTAAAAACCTCAAATCAGATAATGCAGGGACCTCCCTGGTGGGCCAGTGGCTAAGACTCAGGTTCAATCCCTGGTCAGGGAACTAGATCCCACATCCTGCAACCAAGAGTTCGAATGCCACAAGTAAAAGATTGCTCAGGCTGCAACTAAGACCCAGGGCAGCCAAATAAAAATAAGTAAACAAATAAATATTTTTAGAAAACAGATAATGCAATGATATGATCAAATAAGGAATTCACTCTTCAACAACCAGCAAATGCGGATGCCTTCCAAGCTTCCTGCCAGCTTCCTCTAGACAGCCACACCCAAACGAGAAATGCAGACACAACTGCTTCTTCCCCCTGCCATTCTCTCTATTTTGTTCCCTTCCCCATGTAAACCCTGTCCACCCTGAGCCTGAGAGTTTCCTGCAAAGAGCCATGACATGGGGAGATACAGACAAGCTCTGATGTCTCCTGCCGGGGAGCCGAGCCCAAGATCTTTGAGCTGATGATAACTGTTGGCCCCCGATTGCTCACCCCTCCCTGTATTCACGCTCTTTACCATGTAACTTTGTAGTTACATGACTCTGGGTTGGCTGTGTGACCTGCTTTCACCAGCAGAATGAGTTGGAAGTGACGGAGTGCCAATCTCCAGCCTATGTCTTAATTGAGGGGCCCCCACCCATTTCAACCTGTACTTTTGTTGCCATGAGACCAGGCTAGATCAGCCAACAGCTGACACCCCCCACCCACCACCCCGCCCCAGACAGACTTGTGGGTAAGCACAGCTGAGCCCAGGAAAATCATTCAGCCAAGCTCAGCCTAAATTGCCCTGGTACCACAAACTTGTGAGCTAAATGAATGTTATTGAGGGTCAGGGCTGGTTTGTTACACAGCATTGTTACAGCAGAAGCTAAATGGTATGGGAAATCTGCAGGTCCAAACTGAGTTACAAGACGAAGTCCCAAAGACAGGGTACTTTCCCAAATGGGTCCTGACCTATTTCCCCAGCGTCCTTGGCCAGGCTCCCTCCCACACAAAGATGCACCCTTTTCCCAGAACAAGGGGGATTCTCTCAGGTCAGGCCTTGACTACTTGTCCTTTAAGGCTCTGCTCTAATGTCACCTCCTTCAGGAAGACATCTTGTAACCCAGGCAGTGTCCACAGCAGAATTTAGTTGAATGATGTCACTGAATGAGCCAAATATTAAAACAGGAGTACCCTGCAGAGCCAGGGAGCTAATATTCAGGGGATTTCTCATGAAAGGCTGAATACCAGGGTGTAGTTATCTGTCTTTCTCCAAGGTTCCTAGTAAGCAGGATCTCCTAAATGGAAGTGCCCGGGTTTGAACCTGGGACCTCGTGCATGCTGAGTAAGCACGCGCTCTACCACTGAGCTACACCCCCCAACTCGAACCACAATCACTGTAGTTGCTAACTTAGCTGATTGTGCTCCACCCAGACACCAGAGGGCGTTCTCAAAACTCAACCTGACTTCTTGGCTTAAAATTCCCACAATGGCTCCGACTTATTCTTGATTCCTGTCGGTTAAAATCCTGGGTCCACCACTTAATTCATTCTGAAACTCTGGACTAGACACCACCTCTCCAGATCTCTATTTCTCCATGGGGTCATTCAGTTCAGTTCGGTCGCTCAATCGTGTCCGACTCTTTGAGACCCCATGAACCACAGCACACCAGGCCTCCCTGTCCATCACCAATTCCCGGAGTCCACCCAAACTCATGTCCACTGAGCCCGTGATGCCATACAACCATCTCGTCCTCCGTCGTCCCCTTCTCCTCCTGCCCTCAATCTTTCCCAGCATCAGGGTCTTTTCCAACGAGTCAACTCTTCGCATCAGGTAGCCAAAGTATTGGAGTTTCAGCTTCAACATCTGTCCTTCCAATGAACACCCAGAACTAATCTCCTTTAGGATGGACTGGTTGGATATCCTTGCAGTCCAAGGGGCTCTCAAGAGTCTCCTCCAACACCACAGTTCAAAAGCATCAATTCTTCGGAGCTCTGCCTTCCTTATAGTCCAACTCTTAAATCCATACGTGACTATTGGAAAAACCATAGCCTTGACTTGACGGACCTTTGTTGACAAAGTAATGCCTCTGCTTTTTAATATGCTGTTTAGGTTGGCTATAACTTTTCCTTCCAAGGAGTAACCGTCTTTAAATTTCATGGCTGCAATCACCATCCGCAGTGATTTTGGAGCCCCCCCTCCCAAAAAAGTCAGCCACTGTTTCCATTGTTTCCCCATCTATTTGCCATGAAGTGACGGGACTGGATGCCATGATCATAGTTTTCTGAATTTGAGCTTTAAGCCAACTTTTTCACTCTCCTCTTTCACTTTCATCAAGAGGCTCTTTAGCTCTTCTTCACTTTCTGCCATAAGGGTGGTGTCATCTGCATATCTGAGGTTATTGATATTTCTCCCGGCAATCTTGATTCCAGCTTGTGCTTCTTCCAGCCCAGCATTTCTCATGATGTACTCTGCATATAAGTTAAATAAGCAGGGTGACAATATACAGCCTTGACGTACTCCTTTTCCTATTTGGAACCAGTCTGTTGTTCCATGTCCAGTTCTAACTGTTGCTTCCTGACCTGCATACAGGTTTCTCAAGAGGCAGGTCAAGTGGTCTGGTATTCCCATCTCTTTAAGAATTTTCCAGTTTGTTGTGCTCCACATAGTCAAAGGCCTTGGCATAGCCAATAAAGCAGAAATAAATGTTTTTCTGGAAATTTCTTGCTTTTTCGATGATCCAGCGGATGTTGGCAATTTGATCTCTGGTTCCTCTGCCTTTTCTAAAACCAGCTTGAACATTTGGAAGTTCATGGTTCACATATTACTGAAGCCTGGCTTGGAGAATTTTGAGCATTATTTTACTAGCGTGTGAGATGAGTGCAATTGTGCGGTAGTTTGAGCATTCTTTGGCATTGCCTTTCTTAGGAATTGGAATGAAAAGTGACATTTTCCAGTCCTGTGGCCACTGCTGAGTTTTCCAAATTTGCTGGCATATTGAGTGCAGCACTTTCACAGCATCATCTTTTAGGATTTGAAATAGCTCAACTGGAATTCCATCACCTCCACTAGCTTTGTTCATAGTGATGCTTCCTAAGGCCCACTTGACTTCACATTCCAGGATGTCTGGCTCTAGGTGAGTGATCACACCATCATGATTATCTGGGTCATGAAGATCTTTTTTGTATCAGTTTTTCTGTGTATTCTTGCCACCTTTTCAATGACCCCAGTGGGATCATTGAGTGAATTAAACAGTGTTTCCTGTAAAGTTGGAACAGTGTCTCTTAGGATGTTCTCAGTTCGGCTAGCTACTGCATCCTTCAGTCTGGGCAGAAAACAGACATCAAATCCAAACTGAGTGAATGGCGCAAGTTTAATAAAAAGACTACTTACCATTAATCAGCCACAAAAAAAGAATGGAATATTGCCATTTGCAGCAAAATAAAGAGCCTAGGGATTATCATACTAAGTGAACTAAGAGAAAGACATATATGATATCATTTACATGTGGAATCTAATAAACAATACAAATGAATCTACATACAAAACAGAGTCACAGACATAGAAAACAACCTTATGTTACCAAAGGGGAAAGGGAGGGGGAAGAGCGATAAATTAGGAGTAGTAACATACAACGGAGAAGGCAATCGCACCCCACTCCAGTACTCTTGCCTGGAAAATCCCATGGACGGAGGAGCCTGGTAGGCTGCAGTCCATGGGGTTGCTAAGAGTTGGACCCGACTGAGCGACTTCACTTTCACTTTTCACTTTCATGAATTGGAGAAGGAAATGGCAACCCACTCCAGTATTCTTGCCTGGAGAATCCCATGAACAGAGGAGCCTGGCGGGCTACAGTCCATGGGGTTGCAAAGAGTCAGACAGGACTACTAACATAATACTTTAAATCAACTAAAAATCAATTTTAAAAAATCAATTAAAAAAAAAAAAAGACTATTTACAAAGGTGGAGCAGTGAGACCACAAGGGTGGTGCAGCACTTCAGGGCAAGAAAGATGGGAGTTTTGATTACCCCCAGGCCTGGAAGAACACAGATGTGTGTGAAGTGGATGCCCAGAGAGGAGCTGTGACCTTGGGCAGAAAGATACAGCCAATTGGAGGCAACTCCCACATCAAGCAGGGTGTTGGAGACATAAACACCCCTCCTTTCAATCTCTTGTCAGTGTCCCCATTGGCCAACCCAAACAGGAAGCTAGAGGTCAAGAAAGCCCTTGGTGGGACTTCCTTGGTGGTCCAGTGGCTAAGACTCCAGACTCCCAGTGCAGGGGGCCCAGGTTCAATCCCGGGTCAGGGAACTAGATCTCACATGCCGCAACTAAGAGTTGCTGAAACTCAAGATTCCACATGCCACAATGAAGATTGAAGATCCCACATGCCACAACTAAGACCTATACAGCCAAATAAATAATATTTAAAAATAAAAAAGCCCAGGGTAGTTCATAGTGACTAACCTCCCACCATTTATCATAGTGGATCTGAAGAGAGCAAACAAAAGATATCCAGTATATTATTATCATCACCATCAATTGTATTAATCTTATTATTAAACTACTTGTCAACTACAAATTGGCACTTACCAAGAGCACTCCCAACAACTGAACAAAAAAGACAGTTGCCATCTGCCTCTAGCTGTTGACCTTCAACAACCCCTGAGGGAGTTAAGGTGGAGTGAGGCGCTCTGTGCTCCAGGGGTTCTGGTGGGACAGGTCTTTAGATAGTTAAATGGTTTTAGGAACAGATTTTATGATCTCAATCCTTGCATCTCCTCATACCTAGAGAAACCCTTCATGGTGACATCAGATCCTCATGACTAACAGAAAACTTTGTAAAATGAGTGCTTCATGGCATTGAACTGCCCCTTCACCAAAACCTTAGATGCTGACTTTCCCCCACTGCTGCTTTGGAGCATCTCCCAGAGCTACCTGAGATGCGGCCTCCTGGGCTGCAGTCCTCATTTTGCCCCAAATAAAACTTAACTCACAACTCTCAAGTTGTGCATCTTTTTTTAGTGGACATACTCATCATGGTCTAAGAGGGTCTTCAAAGTCTGGCCTCCCTCTTTCCACCACATTACCCCTGCCTCCCCTACTCCTTTCTGAAACCCAGAAATGGACCCAGAAAGTGTGCAAGGGAACCCTCTGAAAGATGGTAAGGTTCTCATTCATGATAGGAATCTGGTTAGCATGGATCTACATGCTTGCCATAAGGCTAAGAGCTTAAGATTGTGTATTTTGGTGTATTTAAACTCTATATGAAAAGTAAAATCTAAAAAAGTAAAATAAAACAGAAAATAAATATTGAACACTATTTTTACACATGGGATAGCATTGAGAGAGAAGTGTACTTTCAAAGGCAAAAGAAAAATCAGAGGGAGTAACGGATAGAGAGATGGGAAGGTGAGTGGACATGTGATAAAGCAAATAGCATTAAATGGTAACGGTTGAATCTAGGTGATGAGGGTTCACTGTGAAATTATTTCAGATTTTCTGTGTTTGAAAATTTTCATTAAAAAGGTTGGGGAAAATGTAAAAATAAAAGCTGATGAGGATGGCTTCAACAAAGAAATTGGTCAGAGGATCCAAGAAAACAAGAATTTCTCTGGGACTTTCCACAGAAACCACAGCCATTTCCCTGCAGTATTCAGGAATGAATTATGCCAGCTGTCAAGTGCTGGATCAGAAGAAAGGCTCCCACAGAGAAATGAAGGGAAAATAGCAGAAGAGATATCGCCCCACTTCTCAGAAACCCTGTGACAGAGAGCTCTATTTAACATCTGAATATATTTATTATTCATTCAACAAACATTTCTTGAAACCCTCCTCTGCACCCAGCCCTGCCCTCAAGGGACTCCAGTGGTGGAGACAGACTTGTTCCTCAGATAGAGATAATCTAGAGTGATCAGAACAGTTATGGACGAAGCCCAGGGACTGTGGGAGTTCCAAAGGAAGCCTCTGAGCCAGACTGGAGGTCAGAGAGGGCTTCCTGTTGGAGAGGATATCTGAGGTGAGTCTTCAAAGAGGAGTAGGTGTCAGCCAGGTAGAGAGAGAGAGGGCAGGACCCGGGAAAAGCATTCTGGGTAGAAGGAACAGCACACAGGAAGACCAGGAAGTGAGCGTAAGACTACAATGCTTCCGGTAAACAGAAGTTCAGGACAACTAGAATACAAATGTAAATAAGGGTGGGGGAGAGGCGTAAGGGGCAGGAAGGAGTCTGCATCACGTAGAATGGTAGGTAGGGCCACGAAAAGCACTTGGACCGTCTCCCGACAGTGCTAGGGTGATAGTGAAAGGGTGATAGTGAACTCAGCCTGATTTGCAAAAGATTCCAACTGCAGGGCAAGTGAAGGGGGTGAGGAACACATC